TCGTTAAGTATTATGTGAATAACAATTTTGTAGGCGCACACAGTGCCGCAGGATCCACTTACCTGGGATCCGTTATTGTACAGGGATATAATTTCGCGGATCCTGCCTTACCGGCAGCTGAGCAGGATTTTGTGCATACAGATTATGATATCTATTGGGACAATATTGGTGGCATCACCAATATCCATAATGTTACTGTTGATAGCTGGCACACTTCCGTACAGCAGGCAGTGAGTACTTCCTCATCCGGCGATGTAATAGAAGTTGCTTCCGGGACCTATACTGGTAACGTTATCGTTGATAAAAGCATCACAATTAACGGTCCGAATAGCGGTGTTGCCGGAAACGCGACCCGTGCAGACGAGGCTGTTATTTTAAACAGTACCTGGACACTTGGCTCGGCTAACAGCACCGTAAGCGGTTTTACTTTCCTGAACACGGTAGTGGCAGAAAATCAAAAGGCCATTGCCATCACCTCAACAGGCGACGTTGTCGTTTCAAACAATATCATCAGTCGCGAAGCGCCGGGCTCAACAGGTTCATGGGGGAGCTTGCGTGGTATTGAGATGAGTGCAAAGACAGCAGGCAGCACCACCATTGCTAATAATCTATTTACCGGAGACGGCAGCAATATTTATCAGAACTCAGGTTGGAGAACCGCTATCTGGTCCAACGGGGGTAACGGTATTTCTTACGTCAATAATGAATTCCGCAATAACCGGACAGCGATCAACCTGGATAATTTCAGTACCGGCCAAACCCTCACCGGCAATACGTTCGGCAGCAGCAATGGTACCCACTTAAGTTTTGGCGGTACCTCCGCCACTAACGGACAGTACACCATCTCCGGCAATGAATTTGGTATCCTGGACGTAAGCAGAACGACGTTTAACCTAAGCAATGTAACCACTACCTTTTCAATCGACGCTTCCGGCAATACGTTTAATGGCATCGCGCCATCGGTTATGACCGACGCTCAGAAATTTGAAGTAGAAGCCTCTTTGTACCACCGCGGACGCAGTGGCAGGAACGGGGTGGTGAATTATATCAGCGGCCAGCAGATCGTAGTGCCATTTAACCCGGCCATCCAGAAAGCACTGGACGCAGCGGCTGCCGGTCATACCGTATTGGTAGCACCGGGTACTTATAATGAAGATGTGGTGATCAGTAAAGCCGGCCAGACCCTCCGGGGCACAGATGCGGCAACCACTAT